ACATCAAATTTTAAACTGTATCATACCAGGATCTTGTGTAACTAGAAGTGATCCAACAGCTACGCATGCAACAAACAAACTACAAATCAGATCAAGGTGAAGACCGATGAATGCCCTGCACGCTTTGTCGAGATAAAAAGCTTGTGTGTGGTCGTTCAGGCATCTGGAAGGGGAAATTGTTCTATTAATTTTGCAGCATATCAAAGGACCGTACGTCATTGTATGCCGTATTACACTATGAGAAAGCAACCTTTTCGATGTGTGAAAACAATTCAAATGCACGGCGTCTGAAAGCAGTTGTGAAATTTGGATGAACATATAACTTCTGCATGTGTTTCTGTGTTTGGATGAACATATAACTTCCATCTGAGGTCTTATTATTTTCTTTAGTCAAAATAATATGTCCCTCCCAATAAAGGTTGTCTAAAACATTTCAACCCTCACAAAATATTCAAACATATGTCCCTCCCCAAAAATGTAGTGTTCCCCCGATATACAATGTAATATGACAACAATGATCACCTCCTTGTCAATACTAATTTAGATCTTGATCATGCAAGAAAAATTAGAAAATTCATCTGAAATTTGAGGATGTGATTACCCAGAAAATAAGGTAAGGGCAATCTAATTTCCAATAATTCCGCCCCTATAAAGAAAGAGCTGGACGCTTTCACAAAATAACCAAACAACCAGTCACAGCCTACCTGCAAAGCTGACTTACAAACTCCTTTTCCATTTTGGCTGCATGAATTGCTTCCAGACCGTTGATTGTATCAGCAATGTGTGCATAAATGGGACTACATTTGATAGATTCCAAACGTTTGAGCTCTCGACTGCTCTTCAAGGTGAACCAGCAAACGAAACAAAATAGAAGAACAATTGGAACCACTGGAATCACAAACCAATACTCGACTAATGCAGTTAATACCATGCTGCCAACAAATTGTAACATCATTACAATCGTAACCAGGAATGTTCGAGGCAAAAGTTGCTCGATGCAACGAGTGTCTTTAGAAAATCTGTTCATTATTCTTCCAACGGGATTCGTATCCATGAATAAGACCGGTGATTTGAGGATAGCTACAACCATTCGGTCATGAAGATTCGCTGACGAGTGAAGAACAACAAGAGGGAAAAAGACATATAGCAAACCTGCCGAGACTACGGCTAGAAAGACCAAACAGGAGAGTACACCAAAGCTAAATGCACTTTTTTGATCTTCATAATTCATGTCCACCATTTGTAAAAGCCACAGATTTGGAGCTATCTGCAAAGCTAGAACATGAAAACACTGCAAATATTTTTTTTAGAACAAAATATAGGTAAATTCATTACTTTACGTACATTTTAAGAGAATAAGAAGTATCCCGATGGTATACGGTATCCAATTTTAGTTTCAAAAAAGGAGCACTTACAAAAGATTATGAGAATACTTAGAACCTTCTCGATAGCATGCAACTTTACATTGTTCATTTAAAGTGCTCATTTTTAAGTGTTTGTGGTGCTGTCTTTTGTGTGTGCTCATTACCTTGACTAGCCAGGAAAGCACAGCAAAGAAGTACAATTCCGATTGCAGGAAAACCTGCTCTTAAGAATGACCAGTAGACTTTCCAGCTGATAGAACCAGCCGGACATTCTTCTCCGTCATCCTCTAATTCCAGTTGCAGAATCTCGTCTGCACTGGCTTTTGTTGATCCACTGGTCAAATTGCGTCCGCGATCCCTTTCCATGGGTTTCTTATTATAGATTTGCGTGTCGCAGATTTGAAGCTTAGCCTGCTGAAGTTCATTGTAGCTGCCTTTGAATGCTATGCGACCATCTTCCATAATTACTATTTGATCAGCTTTATCCAAGTACTGAATCTGGTGGGTGACTAGTATTATCTTCTTTTTGCAAAGAACTCCACGAATACATTTTTCAAACAGATGACTTCCTACTTTGGCGTCTACAGCACTCAACGGATCATCTAACAAATATACGTCTGCTTCAGAATACAAAGCACGGGCTAGACTAACTCGCGCTCTCTGACCACCGCTTAAGCAAACTCCTCTATGACCAATAAAGCTCAAGTCACCTTTTGCAAAGTGTTTCATGTCTGCCTCAAGTTCGCAGACTTGATTTTGCAAAGTGTTTCATGTCTGCCTCAAGTTCGCAGACTTGAAGAACATGACAGTACTTTTCGAGAACAAAAGGCCTTCCAAAGAGAATGTTGTCACGAATTGTTCCAGAAAAGACCCAAGGAATTTGGCTCGCGTATGCAATCGTTCCTTGCCCCCGGACAACGCCACTTTTAAGAGAGAGTTCTCCGAGGAAAGCTGACAATAGCGAGGTTTTGCCGCTTCCAACAGGACCAGTGACTATTGTAAGATGCTCTGGCATTATCTCCAAAGAAATGTCTTGAAGGCTGCAATTAGCACGTTGCGGATCCCAAACTGCAAATGCATTTTCCATTGATAGAGTTTCAGTAGAGGGAAATTCGTCTTTCCCAGTCAATCTAATTTTTGAGCTTAGGAAAATGATTTCATTCCGAGATGGATTACAATTTGTGTCTTGGAAGTAACGTTTCCCTTTTGGAGTCTTAAACTGGATTTCCTCCATATCATCGAAACCTTTGTTGTCTCGCTCACTCTCTTTAATGGTTTCAATTTCAGCCAAAAATGTTACAGTGTTTTCAATTCTCTCCAAGGAAACGATACAGTCCCTCAAAAAGAGGACCTGACCGGTTGTGTTAATGCAAATGGCAGTTCGTAAAAGGCTCAATAAAAYCAATAGAGTAAAAACATTAAAGTAGGTGAGAGACACCCCAGTGTACAGAAGTGTAGCAATTGTAATAAATAGCGCAATTGGTGTAGCTGTGATGAAGTTCGAGGTGTAGATGACACTCCTTATTCGAAACATTTGAACCTCTTTTCTGAAGAGCAGAATGCATCATTATAGTTAGCATATTTTCATATAAAATTAGGATTCATTTATCCTTCATTACCACAAGTGTAGAAATCATTGTCTAAAAAACGTCATTGCAATTCAGACCATCATTTGAACACTTGTTCCTTAGTCCTTAGAATAGAGATGGATTCACCTAATAAAATATGACCAATCCAAAACATCCCCTTTGAAAAACAAGCTATCGATTTATTATTAACAATCGCATAGATTGTTCCTATTTAATTACTTTTACCATATACGGAATACGCATCAGTGGCAAACCTATCTATTCAAACGAATGTGGACGACCACGACTATTTGACTAAGGGCAAGGCACAGAGTTCCCGGGAGTAGTGAGGAAATTAAATTAAGACCTGTTTTATCTTACCTTCTGATACGTTTTACAAAATCTCGGAAATTCCATTCCCAAGCGTACATCTTGACAGCTCGAATGCCCCATATGATGTTGTTTATAATGGCCAGTCGATGATCTGTCACTGCTGCCGCCTTTGCATGGAGAGAGCCAAATTGTTTGGACATCAATAGATTTAGTATTAATACGAATCCGAAATAGACTGCCCCAACTAATCCTTGCCATCCAAATAACCACCAAAGGAGTACCAAACCCGCGAAGATTTCAAGGGGCACAGCTGTGGCATAACTGAAATTTTCGTAGAGGCACCTTTCCACCGCAGTTGTATCGTTGGAGACCAAATTTATTATATGTCCTGTTGTAAAATTGGTCAACCGACATCGTCGAGCAGACAAAATCTGTAGAAGAAATAAATAAACATCCATATCAAGATCCGGATTAATGTTTGTGAATTTACCCAACGGATATATAAAGCTATGGTCAGTTACATATTGCAGAGATTTTAGATGTTTTTTATTGCGGG